AGTGACCCATTTCATGAAAGTCTAGGTATGAACGAGGGGATGCCCCTGCCCCGTCCTCTAAGCAGCTTTCCAGACTCAATGTCCTGGGCCCCAGCTTTGGTTTTCTTTCCTTGTGGCAGCCAGGTAAGGACCTCAGCTTGGCCACTAAGTCACTTCTAGGCATTTCATGGAGTTACTCACCCACCTGTAGCCCAGCTTGGACATGGACGTTCTAGTCAGAGATGTACAAGCCTTTAGGCTGTGCCCCTTCTGCATCTAGCTGCAGGATGTGGTCAGGAGAGGAAGCATGCCTTGCCCCAATCATTCTGGGGTTTCCAGAGAGCTCCTTGCCAAGACATTGACAGAACACCGTCTGGGTGGGTAAGCATAGCTGCCCTCTTCCCATCTGGCCTTTAGAGCCAAGAAGAGATGATGTGGAATGAACCCCCTCCTCCATCAAGGCTGGAGGATGGAAAAGGAGGGCTAGGACAGAGCCAGGCAGGGAAAGGAGGGTCTGTTGAGCTCCTTGGTCCTGTATGAAGGAGGCCCATGTACTACAGACAAACCCAGCTCTGGCTTTCAGAGGGCTACAAGACCTCACTCTGTGCTTTCTTCCCTGTGGGCAGGAAGTTAAAGTTTCTTCGCTGTCCTTCTAGAAAACCCATCTAATGGAGGAGTACCCTTATCCCTTCAGTCAAAATAGGAAGGAGAGAAAACAGATGGAGCTCAGCTGACTGTCTCAGACTGCACCTCCTTCCTTAAGCCCATAGTTATGCCAGTGTCATCCAGTCAGGGCTTGGATTTCTGCTTCCAAAACTCCTGCTTCTCCAGCCCAGCTTCTTTCCAGGCTTGAGACTCCTGCACAGGCCCCAGATTCTAGGCTCTCAAGGCCTCTGAGGAGAGATGGAACAGCAATACAACTCCAGCCTAAAAGATGTACATTTTGTTCAACTGCTTTGAGTTTTTAGCAAAATGATAAAACATATCCAAACCATTTTTTTTTCATGAAAATCTGTGTTTTGAGCTTTAAAAAAAATTTTTTTTTTAATAGAGCATTTTCTTGTGGTAACATTTGCAGTAACTGCCCTCTTAAGATGACCTGCATTTTCTAATTTACCATATCATATGCCTCCCTACCCCTATGCTATTTGGGCCCATTCCTTCTCTACCTCCCCACTTAAACCAAAACTAAGTTTGAGTTGCAGAGCTTGTAAACACAATAAAATGATGCTTGAGTATCCGAATTCTTACACCTGACATATTTTACTTTTTACTTTACCTAGCATGATGGCTTGGGTAAGAAATGTACCCCATATGCTCCAGGAGTTTGGACACTTGGCCCCAGTTGGTGGTGCTGTTTGCAGAGGTTTAAGAGGCACAGCCTTGATGGAGAAAGCATATCACTGGGGGTGGGTTTTGAGAGGTCACAGCCCCGGCCTACTTTGAGCTCTGCTTCCTGCCTGTGCTTGACGATGTGAGCTTTTGGTTTTCTGCTCCAACTGCCTCTGCCACCATGACTCCCCACTATGATGGACTCTTCTCCCTCTGGAGCCCTAAGTCAAATAAATTCTTCTTTCTGTAAGTTATCTTGGTCATGGCATTTTATCACAACAACAGAAAATTTACTAATATACCTAGTCAGTCCCTTTGGTATTTGAATTTTTCAACAAGTATAGGGCTATAGAAATAATAGGGCTATGGAAACAACCAGAAAGATCTATTTTCAAGGGGCTGGAGAGATGGCTCAGCAGTTAAGAGCACTGGCTGCTCTTGCAGAAGACCTGGGTTGGTTCCCAGCACCCACATGGCAGCTAACAACCACTTGTAACTCCTGTTCCAGAGAATCTGACACCCTCTTCTGGACTCTACAGCCATTGCATGACATGGGTGTACTTACATACATGGAAGCAACACACTCATAAACATAAAATAAATAAATAATAAATAAGTAATTTTTACATAGCATCTTCAAGTGCTAAACCAACTTATTGACAAGTTGTGTGCCTCTGGGCCTCAGTTTCCTCATCTGCAGGCGATGATAACAGTAGTGCTACAAATGTCACTCTGTAAACTCAGGCTTGCAAATACTATTGTGGTGGTTAATCTTGATTGTCATGTTGATAGGGTTTTAAATTGTCATGGAAAAAAACTCCAGGCTAGTCTGTGGGGCATTTTCTACATTATGTTAATTGAGGTAGGAAGCCCCATCCTAGTGTTGGTGGCACTATTCCATGGGGGTCTTAGACTGCATAAAATGGAGAAAGAAAGCTGTGCACCAGCATTACTCTTTGCTTTGGCACTATGGATGCAATGTGAATAACTACCTCAAGTTCCTGCCACCACATCTTCCCCTCCATGGTGTACTGTATTGTCTTGAACTGTGAGCCAAAATAAACCCTTTCTTCCTCAAGTTGCATTTGCCGGGTATTTTGTCTCAGCAATGGGAAGAAAACAATTGTCTTAGTTCACTTTTGGCTGTTATAAACAAATACCTGAGACTGGGTAATTAGAAAGAACAGAGTTATCTGGGGCATGGCAGCTTTAATACCAGCCCTTTAGAGGCAGAGGCAGAGGCAGGGGAATCTCTGTGAATTTAAGGTCAGTTTGGGCTACATAGTGAGTTCCAGGCTAGCTGGTTACAGGGAGACCCTGTCTCAAAAAGACAAGAAAAAAGACAAAAAAAAAAAAAAAAAAAAAAGAGGTGTTTAGTTGTTTTTTTTCAGCTCTGGAGGCTGGGAATTCCAAGAGCAACGTGCTGGTATCTGACAAGGGTCTTCTTCCTTTGCCATAGCATTACTCCATGAGATGGAGCAGCAGCCTAGCTAGGGTCTCTTCCTCCTCCAAAACCACCAATGCCATCATTACCTCATCACATTCTAATTACCTCCCAAGACTCCACCTCCCAATCCATAAATTTATGAATTAGGGGATTAACTTTGCAACGCATAAAATGGAGAAGAGCCTTCAACCTTGGGGGAAAAGATTCAAACTTACAGAATCTACTAATTGCTTTGATTTTGATGTGGGCTTCAATCTTCTAGGGTGGCAAAAAACCCAACATTTTCTTATGCAGAATCCTGAAAGCTAAAAGGAGCCCAGGAAGTAGGTTAGGAGCCCACATCTTAGTTGCTCCAGCCTGTTGGGGTCTCTTAGATTTAGAAGATATCAGAATCTATAGAATTAGGAAATCTGGGGTTCAAGGTTACAGCTCCCATCCCTGCTAAGGTTCTGTCACTTCCTGAAGGTTCTGCCTGAGGTCTTGTGACCGCCTCTCCAATTCTACTAGTTCTGTTTCCCCAGAGAATTGTGACTAGTACAAGTAGCTCATAAACTCATTAGAAAAAAAACACCAGGAAGCTGGAAAGATAGCTTAGAGGTGACAACTCTTGCAGAGCACCTGGGTTGTAGTCCCAGCACCCACATGGTGACTAACAACACTCTATAACCCCAGTTCCAGGGGATCGGATGACCTCTTCTGACCTCCATGGACATTACACGACACTGGTGCACTTACATACGCACAGGCAATACACTCATACCACTGAGCCATCTCTCCAACCCTGCTCTCCAACACCTGTTCTAAATAAACACAGATCTGACTACAGATAGTAGAGTGGAGCCTGAGCATAAAGGCAGAAACAGGTCCCCCTAGGGGGTCCTCAGTCTCTGTAAAAGAATTTAAGAATGGGCATAAATGGAAGCTTTATTATAATTTATTGAAAAATCCTCAGGGCAGGCAAGTAGCAAATCTCAGCAGCTGCCTTGAAGAGGGGAATGGAGGGGAGAAGGAAAAAAGCCATGAAGCCATGGTGGTTTAGAGCATGCGTGGAGGTCAGACAGCTATGTGGCAGACATGACAGGTAGGAAAAGGGAGTTGTAGAGGAAAAGGTAAAGAAACCAACCCCAAACGTTGGGGCGGCCCAAAGTGTTAGGGAAAGCATGGTTATAAAGGAGGTATAAAGAAGGAAAAGAGAGAATTCAGAAAAGCGGACAGGTCTTAGGGAGAGTCACATGTTTGCCACCCAAAACCACAAGAACTGCACTAAGGGGCAGGGATTCCAGGCAGGAAAAGTTCACCATCTCATTAACGCACTAGGTTCCCCACCATCTCTTTGGCATAACTTAGGGTGGTTCACCCTCCTAGCAGCTGTCCAGTGACCAGGTAATCTGGCAACACTGGAAAGTTGGGTCTTCATCCAAGTCACATTCTGTTCCAGCCAGCCTTCTCCCAGGGGCTTTTTGTTGCTGTAAAAGAACCACTGGGCAACGACAGAGAGCTGCCCTTCTCTCTGATGGGTCCCTGCCTCTTCCGCCTATCCTTCCTCCATGTTGGGTCCCCTTTCTACTTCCTCATCCCATACCCAAAATTTCCTGTGCACCTGCTGTGCGCCTGTGCTAAGAAGCTCTTGTACATTCTGTGGATCCAGAGCCCCGATTAGCACACATTCCCCTGATCAGGCTTTGGGGACCCTCAGCCTGCGTCCGTCTCCACTATCCTCCCTTTGGCTCCTAATTCAAGGTTATCCTTACTTCACATAGACTGAAGGAAGCACCTTAGGAAGGTGCTTGACCTCAGAACCGCCTTGCTGGGCACTGGTAGGTGCTCCAGAAAAGTTAACAGGATCAAAGAAGAGAGGGAAGCGCAAGTGAAGGAATTAAAGGACGGATGCCTGGTTTCGCGGTCTCGCAGCAGGAGGCGCTTGCCCAGGAGTACGCGCCTTCATTCTCTCCAGCCCGAGTTCGGCCAGTTCCCTCCAGCAGGACGCGACTTGGGCAGGAGGAAGGCAATCTCAACCGACCACGAGCTGCAGCTCGGCTGAGTCACGGGAAGGGACCGGCGGGGAGGGGGAGGGGCCCTGGATGCCGGTCTGCTTTCATTCTTCCACCCTGGAGTCTCCGGAATGAAAACTGTCCCCAGCCGGGCCAGAGCGCGCAGAAGAAAGGCGGCCTTCGGACCGCGAGCAGAGCCTCCTCCTGCCCGGGCTGCAAAAACCCGCAGCTCCGGGGGTGTCCCGCCAAGTGGCCGTGCGAACACGCGAGGAAGGGGACAGCCTCGACCCTCGCCCGGCTGCACCAGCGGTATCTACCTTCGGGCTGGTACTTTCCCACCCCAACGTGACGCTCGCCCCGCCTCTAGGATCAGAATCTCAAAGCCTTTCTACATCTTCCCCCCTTTCTGCTGGGCTTTGGTATGCCCCAGGGGACAGATGTCTTGGGATCTTTAACATTTGGGATGCTGCAAATGCTGAAGTTAAATGAAATACCTCCGGGGAGGGGAGGCCCCGGGGAACCTCGGGGAGAGGGAAGATGGGCTGGACCAACAGGTCCTGAAGCTGCTTGGCGGGCGCGGGGGGCGCGGGAGCAGGAGCGGGGCGCCAGAGCTCGGTGGGACAGGTAAGGAGGAAACTTAGAGAACCCGGCGCGGGTGAACTGCCGGGATCAAGCCCCGGAACCCCGTTCTTCATGCTTAGCGGAGGGAGTTTTGCAGGGAAATGGGCAATTTTACCAAGGGGGCGAGAATTCCGAATTCCTACTCAAAAGCCGTTTCCAAGTGTTCAACCATTGTCCTTCGACCTTCCTCAGGCCTGTGGCTCTCCTGGCCAGGTTCCGGCAAGCCAGAAAGCAGGCAAACAAAAGGAGCGGAGTCTCCGGTCGGCCTGGAAGGGGAGGGCGCTGTGGGGGAGGGGCTGGGGGTACAGGACAAAGGGTCTTTTTACAGAAAGCCTAGAGGTCTGGTTTCAGGGTGCATCCCGGGCTAGCCCGAGTTTTCCTGTCTCGGTCCACTCACCCTGGCTTAGTTGGGGTGAACACCTTTTCTAGCGGACAGAGAGTAGTGGAGGAAGAGAGCAGTTTAGGTATGGTCTCCCATCCCTCCTTGTTTGGAGGGTCCCCGACTGCTTCCCGTCCTTTTCCTACAGTTTAGCTCCCGCCGCTGGTCATTGATTTGTTAATTCATTGAGTAAAGTTGGAATGTCGGTAGTTTGCTGGGTACTCCTGGGGACGTGGAGATGGTAGGATGGTAGGACGAAGGACTTGGTGTAGGGAACTTTGGATCCTAGCATATTAGAAGGAACTTTGGAAGGAAATGGAGGCTGGTTGGCTACAGGTTCGTGGAGTTACTTAGGAAATAAAAGCCCTGAAGAGGCGGTTTTCCCAGGGAGAGCTGTCATCCACCCAGTTAGGATTCCAGTACAGTAATGCTATGCAAGGAAACCTGGCTTCCTCACCCACTGGTCTTGGGGATGGTGCCCTGGGATCAGAAGTGTCAGCTTCCTGCTTCCTAGACCTGGGTTGGTGCTGAGTTCCAAGTTCCAAGTTGCCCTCTGGATTGCCCACTGCTTCCTTGGCTCCCTTACCCCTTCTTGGCAGGATGGTGGATTTGTCAGCCACATTCCAAACCTTAGATTTTGCTGGATTGGGAAATGCTGGAGCAGCAAGATATCTTTAAAAATTAAGGATTAATGCAAGCAGGTTGATTGCATTTCCATTATCACACCAGGGCCTGCTGCTGACAGTGATTGAAGCCAATACTACAGCCCTGGGTTTTTGCAAAAAGAAAAGGCTTGATTGCACAGCTGAACTTCAGGAGCCAGGGAAAGAAAAACTTAGATCTGCCTCCCTGATCAGTTGGTAGTGGGGCATGTATAGGAGGGGCGAGGGAGCTGCTCCTTGATTGCCTGGCTTGCCTCTTCACAGGTTTCAAATTTCTTGGGTGGGGATGAGGTTCTGCCTGAAGGTTTTGAGTTTATGATATCACTGACCTGACTACCTGGCGGCTTCTGCTCAAGTCCATTCTTGAAAAGCTGGTTCCAAGCAGTAAGAATCATTAGTGAAAGGCCTGGAAGCTTTTCCTGGAACACAGCATAAGGAATTTATGTCCTGGTGTGTACAGGCCTTAACCCGATTGTGATTTTCTTCCCTAAACTCAGAAAGGCCAGGATTTTTAATCAGGTTCATGGGCAGGGCACCAAGGCACCTGTGGACAGAATTCAGAGTTTGAAAACGTAGGGGAATGGGAGAAAAACATCTTTTTTTTTTTTTTTTTTTTT